GTGAGCTACAGCTCACTTCATCAGATGCAACCAATGAAGTGAGCTGTAGCTCACGAAAGCTCATGCTCAAATAAATTGGTTAGTCTCTAAGGTGCTACTTGTTTTATATACAGAATCAATTGGGGGCAAGCCATCTTTAACAAACTTTTGAACTCCAGCTCTATAAATATGGCACAACATGCCATGTACTGCCTTAAGTTTTTATATTATTTTTGGTCTTTAGAACGGAGTGAACTCTGGTAATTTACTTATTTCCAGTTGTTAGTCGTTTCAGCCTGTTGTGCACAAAAGATCTGCAGAAACACTTTTAGTTTCACTTTTTTTCTTATGTAATCTATACATTTAAAGTAGTTTTATTTAACTAATTAAAACAATTTTTAAATGCTGATTGATATGTGCATTTTTTAATTCAATTCCAATTTCCATCCAAAAGCAGCTTGATAGAAATCATGGGTAAAAAGTTACCTGGTAAATAAGAAACATATTTTCTACCAATGAAAAAAATGGAGTAATTAAAAGTCGAAATATAAAAAGAATATTCAGAGTCTTAATTTTTGAAGGATGGCTACATAGATGGTTAAATCAACGTGCATCAATGTGTATCGTGTATCTGTCTGGTTAAAAAAAAGTCATACCAAATCTAATGTAAAAGCTATATTTAACTATAAATAATCAAATCAACATCTCTGTCTGTGACAGCATCAGAGGCAAGAAATTCCCATCTCATTACATCATGAGGCCTGGGAAACTATACATCTGGGATCAAATTAAAGGTCTGATTTAAGAGTTATTGTACAAAACAAAATTGTATTTGGTTTATTCTAAGGACCTACCCAAATATATAGTAAGAAGATTAATTGTATTTTTCTTCCAGAAAATAGCATCCAGACTCTCTGTGCATCATAGACTAGCTATTATTACATAGTAACTGGCATAATCCTGACTGCTATAGTGCAGGTTGCCAAAGAAACATGTTTTGATAGTTATATCAGCCTTTCCTTAAGAAAATAAGGACAAATGGAAAACATGATTAAAATGGGTGATATAAAGCAAAGTTTTCTGTTTGTTGAATTAAATCAACCATGTTCTAAATCAATCCAACTGCTCTCCAGAGGCCTATGAAAAATGACTTGCTATGTTTGCAGTCCATTTCCCAGTGAATAAATATCCTCTCATCACAAAGATTACACAACAAATGGCACCTTGCTGTACAGATACAGTGGCTAAATGGACCCAGCAGAAAGAAGTTCCAGCCAAGTTTTCAGGAACAATATTGGGATACTTTAACTGCTGCTGCCTGTGGATTATTGATAAAGGTTTTAGTCCCTAGGACAATCAAACTGTTACTTTCAAACAGCAATGAGTTCTCCTAAGTAAGTTGTTTTGCATATATAAATACAAACATATTCAATAAATACCCCCAAAACATTGTCTTCTGCTTCCAAACCATCATGACACAAAGTTCACGATATTGCACCACATGATGATGTTACATTACCCGAATACTATCATAGATTTAATAAAGAGAGACCCCAACTTGAACATACAAAACTGGCACAATTACATACACAACCAGAGCAAACAAACACAGTTGTAAGTGCAACTATATATTCACCAGGTGGCACTTATGTGTGCCAAGTCCACTGTATACTGAAATAACTGGGCAAAAATAAGAAAGCGTGTTCAGAGAAGAGTCAGGGACTATAGCTATATATACAACAGCCTGAATGATCATCTCATCTTAATGGAATTTTAAGCATCTAATTTTAGGTAATCTATTTGCACATGATAGGAATTATTGATTATTTACTGGAATCATTTAGAAAGCTTTGCTTTCCATTTCCTATGAATTCACTCACTGCGGGATAGATCAAGATGATATTATTCTGACCCTAATTTCCTTGGTAGTGCTATTTTTGCGATAAAGGAAGACTAACAACTAATTTTTGGATGAGACTTCATATTTTGGAAAAACGTTATTGCATAATAAAGACAAAAATAAATCTTGCATAATTTGTGTGCAATTCAGATGAAAACAGCTGTTTTAAAACAAATATTCCCTTGCAGCATTTGCAGCCTACACATTGCCACTTCGAGAGTTTGAAGGTGAGATTGAAAATAAACAAAAGCTAAATCAATGTTATTGTAAACAAACAGAATAGAATAAACAGTGAAAAGCAAATGCGGTATTGAATTTTCCCTATTTTTCAATAATGCAAGCTATTACTAGTAGCACATAGATAAGAACATTTGTTCAAAGTACATATACCTAATTTTTCAAATTTTACTCACAATATTGGGAGTCCAGCTTGAGACACCTAAAAAGGAATCTGATTTTCAGAGGGCAGTGCTCAGCTCTTCTGAAAATCGAGTGTCAGAGCCAGGCGGTAGGCAGCCAGATCTAGTGGTTAGTAACCTGATTCAGGAGTGTCATGTTCATGTTACCAGGAATCAGGCAGGAGCCAGTCAAATTAACCCCAAGAAGGTTAGACAATATTTGGGTCACCAGGAGTCAAGCCAAGGTCAGGATACCAGGAATCAAGCAGGTCAGAGTCTGTAGCATGAGGCAAGAGGGCTGTAGTGAGTGGAGTGGCCTCCCTCCAGACTTGAGAGTGAGGGACCATTCCACTCCCCGTGATGGGCAGAGCCAAACCCTCCCCACCCCCTGCCGGAAGTAGCGGGGTACAACAGGAAGTATAAAAGGGCGGGCTCTGCAACACAGTTGAGGCTGCACAAGGGAAGGAAGCAGATGTCTCTTCTAGGCAGGTTGACCCTTCTGCAGGACCCTAGTCCAGCAGCCGAGCAGACCAGAACTCTACTGAATGAAGAGGACCCCAAGGAGTAGCTGAAGAGGCTGCTGCCCCATTATGAGAAAACGAGACAGAACCCCAGCTCGATGGAGCAACGCTGACTAGCTGGAGTAGGAAGTAGCCCTGGGGAACCAGACTTCAGCCAGACTGTGTTGCCAGGAAGCCAAGCAGCGGATTTTGGTTTCCCTGCCAACCCAGGGGTGGGACTACCCACCACTAATAGGACCCTGGGCTGGGATCCAGTGAAATAGGGTGGGGTTGGGTCCTTCTACCCCTTTTGCTGCTACCCCACACCTAGGGATTGGTAGCACACTCACCCTAGCCCTGAAGGCCTATACCTTGATTGTTGGTTGCCCCAGCAAGGAGGTTGTGGGCTCTAGATTATTGATTGCTGTCTGTCTTAGCCAGGAAGTTCAGGGCTAAAGACTGCTTATTGCTCTGCCCCCGCTTGGGGCCAGAGCCCCTCTGACATTATCTGATTAAAATGTGACCATGTAGATTATTGTTACTACTACTGTTATACAATTGCAACAAAGCTTGTGCACAGTATGTCATGTAAGGTGTCTAAAAAATTATGGTTTGCTGAACATGATTATCCTATTTGTATCATGTATCGCTTTTGTTTCTGGAGTTATGTACATTGACTATGTACCTGTATTTCAAATGTGTTTGCTCCTGTGGTAAGACCCACAAGGTATTTAGCCATCACATTGTGAAGGGACTATTAAAGTTGAATGGCCCATCAAAGAACACTTAACTCACAATGGGCCATGGCAGAAGCTCATCTACACCTAATGGACTTTCCTGTGGATATTCTAGCTAGAGTATGGGTGATGGTTCCTGCTATGACTCAGCGGCGCATGCAAAGGCCTGTGTTGAGACCATGTGACACTAAACACCATCGTGTTACCTGAATTTTTCCACAAGCTGTGCGGAGGGCTTTGTTTGAAACAGTGGCTTTCCCTCCATATAAACTAGGGCAGAAACTATAAAAGGCCCAAGAAACATCTCCATTTTGCCTCTTACCTGATCTGATCTCTGGACTATGAACTTATGCTAATGGGAGTATTCTAACCAAGGGACTGCAGACCTTCCAGATAATTGGGAGCAACCAGAGATTTAACCAGTTAGCAGTTTATGCCATCACTGCTTCAAGAACTCTTTGCAACCCTAAAGCTCACCATCTCTACTATGACACTGATTTCACAGCTGTACTCATGTCTGTTTGTATAATCTTTTAACCAATACCCTCTTTTATTTTTTAAAAATTTTAGTTTAATTAAGAATTGGCTGGAAGCATGTATTTGAGTAAGATCTGAAATATTCATTATCCTGGAAGGTAATGGATCTGATCCTTTCGGATTGATTGAACTTTCATATTTGACATGGCTGTCTGGCGGGAACCCAAGGGCTGGATTGCTTTTAAGGAAACTGTGTTTTGGCTTCTGTGTAACCAATAAGGTATTATAGAAGTTGTTTTGTGGCTAGCTTGGAGGATCTAAGTATTGGAATGACCACCAGCTTTGGGGATTGTCTGCCCCTTTCTTTGCAGTTTGCCCTAATAGAGTTACCTCAGTGTGGCTCCCCTGGGACTCTGGTCACAGCCTTAGACTCTTAACTGTTATTTGACCACCCAGGAGGCTGTGAGCTATAGACTACTTGTTGCTTGGCCACAGCCAGAGGGGCCTGAGCCCGACTACTGTTGCCACATGCAATGAGGTGGAATGGCCTCCCTCCCCACTTGAGAGTGAGGGATCACTAGAGTGTCCATACAATAACCAGATAGTGCCTAGTAGTGCAACCAATTTCCTGTACCTCTCTTTCTGTTTAAATAGGAAGCCCTGACCAATCAGAGGTCCTGTTGTTCCTCAAGCAGGCCCAAGGGAAGCCTCCCTCATGTAACTTCAGGTTGTATGGTTGCTCCACCTGGTCAGTTGGGAAGAAGCTGCTGGCTGAGAGCAGGGAGATAGCACTCAGTTGGGAACCTCACAGACTCAGGTTCAAAAGCCACAGGGTCATGACATCAGGCCCCCATAAGGTGATGAAAACTGGGCACCAAAAAATAGGCACCCAAAATCATGAGTCAATTTTGACCATGATTTTAAAGTTGCACAAATAACTTGATATGACAAAATACCTGTATTGCCAACTATCATGGGTTTTTTTTAAATTCTTTTATTAGTGCCAAAATTTTAGAGCATTCTGGAACCCATCTCACGATGATGCAAGAAGCTCCAGGTGCCTTGCAAATTTTTGCCCTGCCAGAATCCAGCAGAGTCTCTACTCTCGTTCTCCATTCTCACAGGAGGGGGGAGGATGCAAAGAGCCCATCAGCTCAGTGAGGCTCCACTCCCTCCTCCCTGCCTATGAGCAACCCAGACAGAACTGTGCCTCCCCTCCTTGCCCCTCCCCCTGCTGCATCCAGCCTGGGAAGAGGTAGAGGGGGGTGAAGAGGCACTGGAGCTGCGCCCCCCACTCTAGAAAGGGGAGAGGGAACCCCTCTGCTGTCAGCCCACATCTAGAAAAAGTAGGGTCAAGAACCCCAGGTGGGACAGAGATGAGGCTGGGCTGAACTGATGGGGAATGTGGGCTGGGTGCAGACTGAACTTTTGGACAGGGCTGGGGGACAGGATTAATTGGTGGGCAGGGAATGGGCTGATGTCGGGGTGAGATCTCATGCAGCAGGGGCCAAAATCACGTTACCCAATACATTTAGGAGAGTGAGCAATGGTAATTGTCACACACACACAGGAGATGGGCAGGAGGCGTTCAAAATCAAAAGATGGAAAAAATAATATCATGTTTTAAAATCTCATTAGTTTGCGGGGGGGGGTGTGTCTAATTCAGGGGTTTTGATCTCGAGGTTAGCAACAGTGAAATACACACAACAAAAAGACACCTGACAAAAGTAACTATAGTGGGAATAGTTTACAACTACATCTGATGTTTCATCCACTGAGTTGACGTCTGATTCACTGTAAATATTTATTCCAATAACAAACAACTTATTCAGAGGGAGACCCACCTTTAGATAAGAAACTACATAAAATCTGACAGCCCAAGGCTGCCAAATAAGCTGATCTAGAAATCCTATTGTATCATGAGTTTTCACAATTTATGTAGATAAAAGAGACCGAAATGGAATGGTTACTCTCCTTACATGGCAGAGCCAGCGTTAGCATTTCAAAGATCACGTGCAAATAATTTCTGTGAGGAATTAAATAGGGATTTGTAAGAGTGAAACAACTGTTCATATGTTAAGGTCATGTTAATTTTTTCCTCCATATCAGTAAAATAAAGCTTTCAAAGGCCAGTGATTTTGAATATGGCTACATGATTTGAATGAACAGCCAAAAGGAGCTATTAGAAATCATTTTACACCGTGAAATGACACAAATGAGGTGTGGGAGGCAATTATGTGAAATTCCCCCCTGTGCAGAGAGCCAACAGATGGCTCATTTTGAAGACTATGTACTGGCCCTTTGCACACAAGAGAATTTCTCTCTTGTTTACTGAGTTACCATGTAGCTGGGAGCACAACAGACTCTTTCTTCTGTAACAGATAAAATCTGAAAGGTTTCATGTGTCCACACTTAGATATACACAACTGCATGTACAGCAAATACAATTAGTTTCAGTTGTACTTGGTCCTCCAGGAAATAAATGCAATTGCCCATGGAATTTTGCATACACACGGTCAAATTCTGGTTTTGGTCACACAAGTTTAAATCTGGAGAACCACGATGGACTGAAACTGAGGGACTCTACATTTAGAGAGGTGTAACTCACAGAAGAGCGATGAAAAAGCAATCAGGTTCTTAAAAGAAGAATTTTAATTGAAGAAAAAGTAAAAGAATCACCTCTGTAAAATCAGGATGGTAAATACCTTACAGGATAATCCGATTCAAAACATAGAGAATCCCTCTAGACAAAACCTTAAATTACAAAAAGACACAAAAACAGGAATATCCATTCCTTTCAGCACAACTTATTTTATCAGCCATTTAAACAAAACAGAATCTAATGCATATCTAACTAGATTGCTTATTAACCCTTTACAGGAGTTCTGACCTGCATTCCTGCTGATACTGGCAGATGCATGAGTAATCCTGCATTCGTAATTCTTCTTTTAAAAATAACTCTAAGTACAAGTAGAGAGCAGTATGGGCATAGTGTATTATTAAACCAAGAACAGTTCATAAATACTCTTACTTTTGTGTTGTGCAATGTTTATCCTTGGATAGGGCGGGGAGGATTTGAGTAACTTAATTACCACAAAATTACCCCTTTAATTATACCATACGTCACTGTGAGGGATTGTTGTAATGGCTTTCTTTGTGTTTTGTAAGATTATTTTCCACATGGATCCAAACCAACTCACTGTGGCAAAATGTATTTCTGGAATTGCAGAATATTCATATGTCTACAACCAAAATACTCTCCCCTTTACAAGAAAGCCACACCAGACTAAACAACGGCAATTCTAAAACAAGACTCCAGGGTCAGGACTCTAGTGGCAATGAGACATTCTGACTGTGATATTCTGCCACCCTGGAAATACAGGAGGACTTCAGAGTTACGAACACCTTGGGAATGGATATTGTTTGTAACTCTGAAATATTCATAACTCCAAACAAAACATTATCATTGTATTTTAAAAGTTTACAACTGAACACTCACTTAATACAGTGGGTTCTCCTTTCAGGTGAATTTTCAGTGTCAGACCTGCTGGGTCATTCTCAAACCAAAAACCCGGGCTAAACCTTCCAGTCAGGGGCAATTACTACGTACCAGCAGTAGTGCCACATCAGACACTTCGGCATAGATTTCACAATCCATTTTTGCCTACAACAACTAAATCTTCAGCACTTTTAATCACAGTGCTGCAAAATAGCATTGAGACAACAGAGGAGTAATTCTGAAAATAAGTACTAGACATTTACATGAGTAAGAAGTTAATCAAGACAGTGTGTTCCATTCTTCCAGGGAAGAATTGGTAGGGGAAGTAGAAGTGGGTGGCAACCTGGGCAGCAGTGACCATGAGATGGTTGAGTTCAGGATCCTGACAAAAAGAAGAAAGGAGAGTAGCAAAATACAGACTCTGGACTTCAGAAAAGCAGACTTACACTCCCCTAAGGAACTGATGGGCAGGATCCCCTGGGAGGCTAATATGAGGGGGAAAGGAGTCCAGGAGAGTTGGCTGTATTTTAAAGAAGCCTTATTGAGGGTGCAGGAACAAACCATCCCAATGTGCAGAAAGAATAGCAAATATGGCAGGCGACCAGTGTGGCTTAACAGTGAAATCTTCTGTGAGCTTAAACTCAAAAAGGAAGCTTACAAGAAGTGGAAATTTGGACAGATGACTAGGGAGGAGTATAAAGATATTGCTAGAGCATACAGGGGTATAATCATAGAATGTCAGGGTTGGAAGGGCCCTCAGGAGGTCATCTAGTCCAACCCCCTGTTCAAAGCAGGACCGATCCCCAATTTTTGCCCCAGATCCCTAAATGGCCCCCTCAAGGATTGAACTCACAACCCTGGGTTTAGCAGGCCAATGCTTAAACCACTGACCTATCCCTCTCACCTAAATCAGGAAGGCCAAGGCACAATTGGAGTTGCAGCTAGCAAGGGTTGTGAAGGGTAACAAGAAGGGTTTCTACAGGTATGTTAGCAACAAGAAGGTGGTCAGGGAAAGTGTGGGACCCTTACTGAATGGCAACATAGTGACAGATGATGTGGAAAAAGCTGAAGTACTCAATGCTTTTTTTGTCTCGGTCTTCACAGACAAGGTCAGCTCCCAGACTGCTGCATGGGCAACACAGTATGGGGAGGAGGTGAGCAGCCCTCAATGGTGAAAGAACAGGTTAAGGACTATTTAGAAAAGCTGGACACACACAAGTCCATTGGTCCGGATCTAATGCATCCAAGAGTGCTGAGGGAGTTGGCTGATGTGATTGCAGAGCCATTGGCCATTATCTCTGAAAACTCATGACGATCAGGGGAGGTCCCGGACAATTGGAAAAAGGCAAATATAGTGCTCATATTTAAAAAAGGGAAGAAAGAGAACCTGGAGAACTACAGACCGGTCAGCCTCACTTCAGTCCCCAGCAGGTCCTCAAGGAATCCATTTTAAAGCACTTGGAGGAGAGGAAGGGGATCAGAACAGTCAACATGGATTCACCAAGGGCAAGTCATGCCCAACGAACCTGATTGCCTTCTACGATGATATAACTGGCGCTGTGGATATGGGGAAAGCGATGGATGTGATATATTTTGACTTTAGCAAAGCTTTTTGATATGGTCTCCCACAGTATTCTTGCCAGCAAGTTAAAAAAGTATGGATTGGATGAATGGACTATAAGGTGGATAGAAAACTTGCTAGATTGTCGGGCTTAATGGGTAGTGATAAACGGCTTGATGTGTACTTGGCAGCTGGTATCAAGCGGAGTGCCCCAGGTGTCAATCCTGGGGCCGGTTTTGTTCAACATCTTTATTAATGATCTGGATGATGGGATTAATTGCACCCTCACCAAGTTTGCAGATGACACGAAGATGGGGGGAGAGGTAGATAAACTGGAGGATAGGGATAGGTTCCAGAGTGACCTAAACAAATTGGAGGATTGGGCCAAAAGAAATCTGATGAGGTTCAACAGGGACAAGTGCAGAGTCCTACACTTAGGAAGGAAAAATCCCATGCACTGCTACATGCTGGGGACTGACCAGCTAAGCAGCAGTTCTGCAGAAAAGGACCTTGGGATTACAGTGGATGAGAAGCTGGATATGAGTCAGCAGTGTGCCCTTGTTGCCAAGAAGGCTAACGGCATATTGCGCTGCATTAGTAGGAGCATTGCCAGCAGACCGAAGAAAGTGATTATTCCCCTCTATTTGGCACTGGTGAAGCCACACCTGGAGTACTGCATCCAGTTTTGGTCCCCCCACTGCAGAAGGGATGTGGACAAATTGGAGAGAGTCCAGGGGAGGGCAGCAAAAATTATTAGGGGGCTAGGGCACATGACTTATGAGAAGAGGCTGACGGAAATAGGGTTATTTAGTCTACAGAAGAGAAGAGTGAGGGGAGATTTGATAGCAACCTTCAATGACCTGAAGGGGGGTTCCAAAGAGGATGGAGCTAGGCTGTTCTTAGTGGTGACAGATGACAGAACAAGAAGCAAGTTGAAGTGGGGGAGGTCTAGGTTGGATATCAGGAAACACTATTTCACCAGGAGGGTGGTTAAGCACTGGAATGGGTTGCCTAGGGAGGTGGTGGAATCTCCATCCTTAGAGGTTTTTAAGGCCCGGCTTGACAAAGCCCTGGCTGGGATGATTTAGTGGGTGTTGGTCCTGCTTTGTATAGGGGATTGGACTAGATGGCCTCCTGAGGTCCCTTCCAACCCTGTGATTCTATGATTCATTCAGTGAGGTTTAAATGATTAACTAGACATGCAAAATAAAAGAAATCACATCACAACCTGCTACTTTAGAACCAAGCCTGGCTACACAATAATCTCAACAGGGTTGGTGGAAATTTTTTCATCAAATCTGTTCTATGATGGAAAATTGGGTTTTCAAATAAATGAATTTTTTAGCAAAAAAGTGTCTGCTTTCTGCTGAAAATTTTGGGGATTTTTTTGGTAGAAAAATGGAATGTCCAAAAATCTGAAAAAAAAAAAAATCAGTTCTGAAATGCCAGTGTGATGCATTATGTGAGTTGCAGTTTGGTTCCCTCATATTTCTGATCTCCTGGATGGGCCAGGCTTCCCAACTGGCCTTCATCTCCCATGATGCATTGTGGCCATGCAACTGCATGAAGCACTGCCTCATTTTACTAAGAGAGGAGACTGTGGTGCCTAATGGGAAATGTAGTACAGCCAGAGAACCAAGTCTGTAGAGAGAACAGGAGCATGAAACATCTGAAGTACAATTTCGATGAGACGAGGCTGGCAAATTAAATATTGTGGTTTTTGGCCAGAACATTTCAGTTTTCGATTTTCACTGAAAACTCTAAATTTTCCATTGAAAAAGCCCTCCATTTTCTGACCAGCTGTATGTCTCAGTAACTTGCTCTTGATTTTTGTCTGTACATGAGAGAGAATATGTATGAGCACTGAATACTGTTCAAAAGCTGCAGTTCTCAAATTGTGGAGCCTTGGCTGGTGGACCACAGAATTCAACTTTTTGATAAATACACACCTGTGGTATTAAAAGAGGAATGATCTGCAGTATGAGAGAGCTGGAAAACCTCTGGCTATGTTACTTATGACAATTTGAAACATCTTGCTCAATTTCTCTCTCTGGGAGTAGCACAGATAGGATAAAAATTACAAGGGCTATAAAGTCATGTCATTTCAGGACATAAACTGATCAGCAGCTGGGGTCAAGAGGATATTCGCCCCCACCCCACATGTTACAGTATGGATGTTTAACACCTCTCTCTGGAGAATCCAGCATTGACCACTCTCAGAGACAGGATAGTACAAAAGATGGTTGAAAAACTGTCAAAGGAACAGTTTTCTGACGGAAAAGGTAGTGTCATCAAAATTGAAACGCTGTATGAGAATGTCTCAATTTTGACAAACATTTTTGATGGAAGACAGTTGAAATTAATGGTTTTGACTTTCTTGTTCTGGTAACATCAATGTTTCATTTAGTTTTACTTTACAGTAAAATATTGATTTTAATATTATATACCTATATTTTATATTTGTATTTATATTAGAATGTATCCATAGTATTGAAAGGAAACAATTCAATGTTTCTGAGTGACTCTTAGTGTCTACACTGTAATTTTTAGCCCCGCAGCCTAAGCCTCAGAAGTCTGAGTCAATTGAACCAAGTTCTGAGACTCAGTGCTGTGGGTTTTTTATTGCAATGTAGACACACTCACAGTGTTCTCAGCCAAGACCCTACATCTGTTGGATCAGCTCCCTCTGAGAATCTACCATGCCTTCAGGGAATGATGCAAGTCTTTTAACTAATTAGGCTTGAACAAGAGTCTACTGTAGAACAGTAATTTTACTAAATCATCCTTCTGTATGTTGATGTTTTGTATTTCTTTTTAATTACTGTAATGTACTCAGATACAATAGTGGTGGATATCATGGAAATATTTAAGTAAGAGCTTCTGGGGCAGAGAGTCTATTTTATAAATCTAGAGATATGTCAAGCACACCCCCACTCATTTCACCTGTTTATGGAAAGCCTTGTCCATCTGTGGTTTATAAATGACGGACTTGCAAACATTACGCTTCCAGCAACGTAAGGAAGACAGCCTGATATCTTTGTTCATCTCACGTGACACTTAAAATTTTTATTCTTGCTAGAGCTGTAAAACACAAATTCTTGCTTTTGGCAAAATCGGGGGTAAGAGGGGATACTTTTCTCTCCAAGTTTTGATGAGAAAAAACAAAACCATTTTCATTCACACCTCATATATATTTTTGGGAAATATGAGGTGGTAAAAAGCTAATTTTGCACAGAATAGTGTGGAGCTGATTGGTGAAAAAAAGCAAAATTTTTAAAATTCACAATTTTGCCTTTGGATGTAAGTTTGCCATTTTTCCAGCAAAAAGCCATATCATGGCAAGTAGGTGAGAACCTTTGTCCTGGATCAAATTAATGAATACACAAGTAAACATCCATTTTCAATCTCAACTACAAAGCAAAATTTGGTGGGTTAACTCAGATAAGTCTAAGTGAGTGGCAGCATATCAAGAGGGAGTCAAAATTTTGGCAAATTTACACCTTCTACATTCTCCGGCCTACATCCCGGATGCCAGTGGACACTTAACAGACTGCTTTACTTAGGCTTGGTCTACACCTAAAAATTTTACTGGTATTACTATTTTGGTTAAGGATGTGATTTTTTTTAACTGACATATTTATACCAGTAAAAGTCTTAGTGTGGACATAATTATGCTGATATAAAGGTGGTTTATACTGGGATAGTCATTCCCCTTTCGGTACAGGAACAGCTATACCAATATAAAACACACATATAAAACAAATGCATCCATACAAGGAGGATTGTAATTCTTTAACTATACTGTTATAATTAAGGTTGCA